CAGCTCCCTGTCCATCTGAACGTGTCTGTCTGTAACCTGCAGCCCTTCCAGCCCCTGGGGTCGGCACCGTCACCAGTCTGCTCGCCCTCTGCCTGCTGCCCTCCAGGAGCTGCCCCCCCAAATGCACCCTGGGAGGGTGCTATCAGGAGATGCAATGAGGAAGGGGCGGGGTGCAGAGAGACGTCCCTGCCGTCCAGGTGCACAGCAGCCCAGTTCGTCTCTAGATGGAGGATGGGCGGATGTTTGGGGCGCATCTGAGCACGTGCACACATGAGTATTGGGGTTTACACCTCAATCAGCAAACTTCCAGCAAACTTTCTTACTGTTGCGAACTCGATCTGTCAGGACTGAGAGAAGCAGGTTGAAGTTCCCAATGTGCTCATTTTCTCCCTGAATCTCCTGTAGTGTCTGCTTTATGGTTGTTGATGCTGTTATTTGGTGCATAAATATATTTTTATACTTTCGTTATGGTTAGCGTTTAGCTTTACAGTTCCACTTCTTCACCACCTTTATTGCTTTTGTTAGAGATTTAACCTTGTCAGGTCATGATCGCCTGCTTGGTAGGCCGTCGCCATCCGCAAGCAAATACGAGTAATCAGAGCCCCAGCGGCCGCAGAACTGGCTGGAACCCTGACCTGACACTCGCTGGCCGCGTGACCGTGGGCGAGTCCCCAAGTATTTGAAATCTCCATTTTTGACAAACGAGGCTGACAGCAGCTTCATAGGTGGCCATGGTGAAGGGAGGAAAGTCTTGCATTAAAAATTAAAGGTCTCTAGAGGCGAGAACCACTGTCCGCAGGGCAGATGGAAGGATTTCTGAGCCACTTGCTGTGAGAGTCCGTCCATTCGTATGCGGAGCTGATGACAGGGCCAGGCCGGACACCTGGGAGCCCAGAGGAGGGGCCCCATCCAGGAGACACTAGGATGGAATGGGTGACCGCTTGGTCTGTGTAGGTGGCCGGTGAGGGTTGTCAGGCAGAGGGGATGGGAGGCGCCTGCAGACCGGTACCTTCCCTGGAGGAATACGTACAGGCTATAGTCAAGTGCAGACCTGAGAAATTGTGTAACAGATCGACATCGCTGCAATTCCCCTGAGCATGGTCAGTTTTTAGGCATTAGTGTTTATTGTGTTGTACAAAAGTATTAGTCCCCAAAGGGTTGGTTTTCAGAAAAGTTCCTCCTGCCCTGACACCAGTGGGCTGAGAGGTGCTGGTCTAGATGGACAGCTGCTGGGAGAGAAGGCAGGGGCTGGACGCCGTGCACCCACCCAGGGGACCTGGGGGTCACAGGGCCAGAGTGACCCTCCCCCTGCTGTCCTCTCAGCACAGAGTAGGCAGCACAGGGTCAGGACGGGCACCCTGGCCCAGGCGAGACTACAGACGACAGCGAAGCCGGCCTGGCCTTGTCCACCCAGAGCAGACACCCTCTCACTCCAGTCCAAATGTCGGGGGTCAGCTAGGCTCTGGGGAGGGCCGGGAGGGGAGCGAGGAGCAGCTTCTCCATCCTGCCGGGCCCATTGCCCGCCCCACACAGAGCCCCAGAAAGGGCCTGGCTCAGGCAGGGCTGGAGGAAGGCAGGGGACAGATCCCAGGCGGGTGTAGCTGTGGTCCCAGCGCTGTCACTTCTCTTCATGCTGTGGTCCCGGGGAGGTCCGCACCTCCCCGACCTCCAGCTTCCTCTTCTGCACGAGGGGGCCCCTGGGGGCCTCTGTCCTCCCTGGCAGAGCCCAGGTGGAAAGAGACACCTGATTGTAAAGCGCTCTGGAGGGGGCAGTGGGCCAACTCGGGGTCCCTGTCCCAGTTCCCGGGGCGCGCCCTGCTCCTTCTCCAGTTGTTCTGGGAAACCACAGCCTGGTGACATTCAGAAGGAATTGGATTTCCTAGTTACAAGAGCTCCATTTCCTCAGTGAATAGAGCCAAGAGGCCCAAAGAGGGCCAGGGATGTGCCCAAGGTCACCGGAGGTGAGCCACAGAGGGGGCGTGAGCCTGACTCCAGACTTGAGGTCTAAGGCACGGACACAGCACTGGGCACTGGCCCCGGGCACCTGCAGGGAGCATGCGGGCACCTGGGCGGCAGGGACGTCTCTCTGCACCCCGCCCCTTCCTCACTGCGCCTCCTGACAGCACCCGCCCAGGATGCACTTGGGGGGGCAGCTCCTGGAGGGCAGCAGGCAGAGGGCGAGCAGGCTGGTGACAGTGCCGACCCCAGGGGCTGGAAGGGCGGCAGCAGTGGGGTGGCTGGTGGGCAGGACAGGGCATCCAGCTGCAGGGACGAGAGTCCTGACTTGTGAGGATGAGCAGGGAGAGGAAGGCCCTGCTCAGAGGAGGTGGGGGCCGTAGGGGCCCCGGCAGCAGGCAGCTCGGGAGCACAGAAGGGAGGGGGGCCCAAGGGGAGCAGCCCCCATGCCACCCAGACCCCTGCCCCTTCCAGGTCTGCAAGCCAGGTCCGGGGGGGGGCAGGAAATCCCTCCCGGTGGGCCTAATGGAGGGCAAATGGCAGAGCCAACGCCAGGGGCATCTGGTCTCAAGAAGGTGTCCAAGGCGCCCGTTCCCTACCAGCCTGGCATGGGGGCGCATGCAGCAGGCGCCCCGTAAGTGCTCGCTGAATAATGGACGGTGAATAAATGAATGCCTGAGTGACAGAGAGCGGGGACTTCTGTCCCGAGGACATTGTGGGTTACAGGCGCTCTCGGGCTGCCGGGGCCTCTAAGGTCCCCTTAGAGTCCTGTGCTCAGCTCCCCCCGGACACCCCCACCCCTTTGTAATGAAGCCATTTGCGTTTGATGAGCTCTTCTACTCCCCACATCCCTTTAGACCAAGGCGGAGGGCGCACGGGGCGGGGGTGGGAGGGTGGTGGGGGACCCGGAAGGGCCATCATTCCCGTTGTTGGAAGATGTGGTTCAGTAGGCAAGTACCTGGAAGAGGGATAGCTGGATGGTACGGTAGGTGGACATGTATTTAACTTTCAAAAAAACTCTCAAACTGATTGCCGAAGTGGTGCACCACGTGCGTCCCCACCAGCGGTGTCTGAGGTTCCGCCTCCCCCACTGGACAGTCTTTTTTGTTGTTGTTAAATATATTTTATTGATTTTTTACAGAGAGGAAGGGAGAGAGATAGAGAGAGTCAGAAACATCGATGAGAGAGAAACATCGATCAGCTGCCTCCTGCACACCTCCCGCTGGTGATGTGCCTGCAACCAAGGTACATGCCCTTGACTGGAATCGAACCTGGGACCCTTCAGGCTGCAGGCTGACGCTCTATCCACTGAGCCAAACCGATTAGGGCCCCACTGGACAGTCTTGAACTTTATCGTCTGAGGTGCAGCGTCTCAGGTGAAGTGGTTTCAGTCTGCATCTCCCTGAGGACAGTCACCCTGAGCATCTCTGCGTGTGCTTATTTGCCGTCTGTGCACCTTCTTTGGTGAAGGGCCTCTTCCAATCTTATGCCCATTTAGAAAGCTGGGTTGTTTGTTTTCTCATTATTGAGTTTTGAGGACTCTTCATATATTCTGATTACAGCCCTTTACTTAGATACGCAATTTTAAAATATTTTTCCCTCAGTCTTTGGCTTTTTTTTTTTTCATGCTCTTTAATGATGTTTTTCGAAGAGCAAAATTGGAAAATTTTGATGAGGTCCAATTTATCAATTTTTTATTTTATAGGTTGTGCATTTAGTGTTATAGCTAGGAAATCTCTGCCCCAAGGTCCCAAAGATTTTATCCTATATTTTCTTTTAAAAGTTTTATATTTTACGCCGAAACCGGTTTGGCTCGGTGGATAGAGCGTCGGCCTGCGCACTGAAAGGTCCCAGGTTCGATTCCGGTCAAGGGCATGTGCCTGGGTTGCGGGCACATCCCCAGTGGGGAGTGTGCGGGGGGCAGCTGGTCGATGTTTCTCTCTCATCGATGTTTCTAGCTCTCTATCTCTCTCCTTTCCTCTCTGTAAAAACTCAATAAAATATATTTTAAATACATAAATAAATAAATAAATAAAAGTTTTATATTTTACATTCAGGTCTTTGATCTGCTTTGGAGCCTTTTTTTTTTTTTTTTTTTGTATATTGTGTGAGATAAGAGTCAAGTTTTTTTGTTTGTTTCTTTTTGCATGTGATTATTCAATTGTTTGAGAACTATTTGTTGAAAAGATTTCTTTCCCTGTTGACGTCTTTTGCACCTTTGTTGAAAATCAGTTGACATATGTATGGGTCTATCCTTAGTCTCTCTTTTTCCCATTGATCAATATGTCTTTCTTTATGCTAATACCATACTGTCTTTTTTTTTTTTTTTTTTGGCTAATCCATTGATTTTTACAGAGAGTGGAAGGGAGATGAGAGAGAGAGAGAGAGAGAGAGAGAGAGAGAGAGAAACATCGATGTGAGTTAACGCATCGATTGGTTGCCATCAAACACATCTCGACCAGGGCTTGGAATCAAGCCTACAACCGAGGTACATGCCTTTATTGGAATTGAACCTGGGACCCTTCAGTCTGCAGACCAACACTCTATCCACTGAGCCAAACCGGCTAGGGCTACACCATGCTGTCTTGGTTATTGTATCCTGATAGTAAGTCTCGAGATCAGGCAATATCATCCCTCCAGCTTTGTACCTTTTCAAAATTATTTTGGCTATTTGAGATCCTTTGCATTTCCACATACATTTTAGAGTCAGCTTGTCAGTTTCTCCAAAAGAGCTTTCCAGGGTTCTTATTGGGGTTGGATTAAATCCATAGAACCATTTGGAGAGAATTGATATCTTAACAATATTGAGTTTTCAATCCATGAATGTGGTATATCTCTCCATTTATCTGTATTGTTACTTCCTCTCAGTAATGTTTTATCTTTTGTCCAATTTATTCCAAAGTATTTGCTATATTAATTGATAGGCTTTCTCTTTACTTTTTAGTTTGAAATGACTTTGGACCTACAGAAGAGCTGTACAGACAGCACAAAGAGTCCTGTATACCCTTCACCCGGCTTCCTCTAATGTCCTTTGCTTTTTCCAGGATCCAAGCCAGATACCACATTGCTTTTCGTTGTCCTGTCTCCGTCTCCTCCCCCTGTGACAGTTCCTCAGGTAATCTTTCCTTGTGTTTCATGACCTTGACATTTTTGAAGAGCACTTGTCAGGCATTTTGTAGAATATCCCCCAATGTGCGTTTTTCTCATATTTTCTCAGTATTAGACTGAAGGTATGGGCTTTGGGGGGTTCTCCTACTCTTTGCATCATGTTAGGGGATACATAATAGTGACATTGATGATGTCACTGTGATAGTGGTGATGTCAGGAGTGATCAGTGGTGATGTCAACCTTGGTCACTGGGTTAAGGCGGTGTTGGCCACATCCTCCACTGTCAAGATTCCATTTTCCTTTTTTCTTCTCTGTCAGAAGTGAATCACTGAGCCTAGCTCGCAGAGGAGAGGGAAATTAAGCTCCACCTCCAGCACCACAGGGTTTATGCTAGACGTTCCCCATTGCATATTGGTCATTTCTTTCTCTGACAGTGAGAAGCCTGGCTCTTGTTATCAATAGTATATTTACCTATTTGTCCAAACTGAGTGTACATGTAAAGTAGTCTTGAAATTGCTAAGCTATGCCTTATGAGAAACCAGTTTACCACCCAGCGTACAGTATTTGTGCGATTGTTTTTGTCTTTAGCATTATAATATCAGGTAAAAACATCATGTGTGAAGTTATTTGGGTCAGGTCATTTCTTCTCCACCCATTTTAGTGCCTTTAAAACCTTTCTTTTTAAAATTGATTTTAGGGAGAAAAAGGGAGAGAGAGAGAGAGAGAGAGAGAGAGAGAGAGAGAGAGAGAGAGAGAGAGAGAACCATCAATCGTCTGCCTCCTGCATGCACCCCGACTGGGGATCAAATCTAAAACCTGGGTATGTGCCCTACTGGGAATCGAACCCGCCACTTTTTGGTGTACGGGCTAATGCGCCAACCAACTGAGCCACACTGGGCAGGGATTTAGTGTCTTTACTAGTATGTCATACATTTGTTATTTACATTTACCCTAAATATTTCATATTTTATGGTCTTATTTTAAATGATATGTAAAATTTTCTGATTGTTTTTGTTACAACCTTTCTAAGCTCACTTCTTTTTTTAGTAGATTTTTTGTAGATTATTTAGGATTTTCTGTAGAGATGATTATGTTGCCTGTGAATAAAGATAGTTTTATTTTCTTCCTTTACAATTTGTATACCTTTTATTTTCTTGCCTTATTACAATGTTGAATAGAAGTGAGATTGCACATTCTGGATCTCTTTGGAAGATAAAGCTAATAGGAATTCCTAAAGGATTGGAGTTTAGCGATTATTATTATTTCTCTCTGTTGGAGAAAGAGTTGGTGCCCACAGAAGGGACCTCACCCCAGTGGGGTTGGCGGGAGTGGTCAGGGTGTTGTCAAGAGGTCCCTGCTCAGCAGAGGTGAGAGCTAGGTGAACTGGAGACTTACTAGCATTTTTCTTCTGCTACTTTGGGCGTAACCGTGAAAGGACTAAAGACGTGCGATTTATTGATTGATTTATTTTTGGATTAGGTCATTTAGCACTCCTCTGACCCTCAACCCCAGATTGCTTATTTTGGGTGTCCATCCCAAAGCAATGGAGGAGGCAGGAAATATTCCTGGATTTGGGGTATGGAGCCTGGGTGGGCATCCTGGCTGTGTGACCCCGGGGGAGACCCAGCCCAGCCCCCCAGGGTGGTTGTGAGCATCACAACAACAATAGCAACGGGCACACCTGTGAACCTCGCCATGCGCCAGGCTCTGCACTGAGTACCTATTTGTATCATTTAATCTCCCCAAGTCCCCCGTGAGACAGGAACTTTTATTTTATTATTATTCATTTTTAAAAATATTTTTATTGATTTCAGTGAGGAAGGGAGAGGGAGAGAGAGATAGAAACATCGATAGATGAGAGAGAATCACTGATTGGCTGCCTCCTGCCCGCCCCTATTGGGGATCGAGCCCAGCACCCGGGCATGTGCCTGAGCGAGTCGAACCTGGGACCCTTCAGTCCGCAGGCCGAACGGGGCAGGCGAGACAGGTACTGTTATTTCCTCATTTTACTGAAGGAGAAGCGGCAGGAAAGGGGACATCTGCCCTCTGACCTCTGCTGGGAACTTTCCTGCTTTTGCTGCTGCTGCTTCAGCCCAAGTATCACCTCCTCCCAGAACCCGCCCTGGGCAGTTCCCTGTACCTGCCCAGACCAGCAGTGTCAGGCCCCCTGCCCGGGGCTCCCACACACCCGTTGCCTGTGCTCCCCCGAATTCAGGACCGCGTCTGGCTCATCCTCGCACCCCAGCACCCACAAGGGACTCAGCACCCCCCAGGGCACCAGCGACTGTCTGGCCCGAACGCAAAGCTTGGGCAGCAGCCTGCGTCCACCCAGCATGGGCTCCGGCCGCACCCGTGGGAGCCTTTAAGGAGGTGCCACCTGCAAGGAGGCCCTGGATCCAGAGGCAGCCGCTGGCCCGAGGCATCTGGGAGCCCACTCCTCCCTCTGCGCCCCCATCAGCGACCCCAGGATGCTCCAGGAAGTGCTGCGCTCACACCCGCCCCCACTCGCCGGAGAAGGCACCATTGTGTCCGAAGGGTTAAGGAGGGATGCAAGGAAGGGGCCCTTTAGCCATGATGCCCTCTGACCTTTCATAAATCAGAGGGGCTGGGGGCGAGGGGCTGCTTGGCAGGGCTTGGGGGGGTGGGGGCTCAGAAGCAGCTGCGCGCGACGTTGACATTGTTCCCACCATTCTAAGTGCAACAAATCCCTCTATTGTGTTCCTGGTTTATCTGGTTCCTCTTGTTTATTAGCACGGCTCCTTTGGCAGCGGTTCCAGCCCTGGGCGGGTGGAAAGAGTGCTGGCACGCACCGCGGGGGGAGGGGGCCGGGAGGGGGCTGCCATCAATGCCCGCATTGTCCCCGCGCTTTTTGTTTCTACTGTAATGACATGTTGGAAGAGAGAGAGGAGAAGAAGAAGGAAAAAAAGGCTCGAGCTGGGGAGGGAAGAGGAGGGCAGCAAAGAAAGAGGGAGCCAGGGCCCTGGTGTGGATTGATGTCTGGGCCTGGGCGGATGTGCCGGCAGCTGGGCAGCCGGGTGGATGGAGCCAGGCTGGGGAGCCTGGGGGGTTGGTGGTGCAAGGGGCCCTCCAGTCTCCCACCCCAGCCTCTGCCGCCTGGCACCAGGTCCCCCCGCCACCCTCCAGCCCTCCTGGGGCAGATGTGGGGCTGTGCCAGAGCGGGGCAGGTGCCGGGGTCTGGGGTCTGCATCCTGATGGGCCCCAGCCTGGCTGTGCCACCCAAGGCAGGCCTCTCAGCCTCTCTGGGTCTTGGTGTCCCAGGTCTGAAAAAGGGGGTGCTGGGGGAGGAAGGCATTTGGGCAATGGTGGCGAGTCCTCCCCAGGCCGGGGTCTGTGCATCCGAGCCTGGGGCAGAGTGAGGACTCGCCCTGGGACAGCGAGCCCAGCACCGCCCCAGAGAGACGGCCGAATGCCAGTTTGGCAAGGTGGCTTCCTCTCCCATCTAGGCCTGGTCCCCACAATGCGGAGGGGGGAGAGGGGCCCGAGCAGGCGGGCGGAGCTCTGGCCCCACTGGCTGGGCTGGGCCTCTCCTGCTTCAGGTGGCTGGACTCAGGGCCCTTGCAGGTCTGGCTGCTGGGCTGGGGGAAGAGCTCAGGGCACCTGAATGAGGCACGAAGGCCCTGGCCATCTTGGGGCCGGCGGGCCCACTGAGGCCAGGGCCCTCCCGCCACTTCCCGAGGCCTCTCTGCAGCACCGGGCCAGTCACCGCCTCTGCTGGCTCGCCTCCAGCCACGCGGAGCTCCTACTCTGCGCCAGGCCTGTTCTGTCCTCGCCCTGCCGACTTTGGGGAGGTTTTCCCGAAAACTGTCTCCCTATGGCTTCTGCTTCTTTGGTTCAGTTCTATTTATTGCAACCACGGGAAACGCGTTAAGCCGCCCTGAGAATCGGTTTCCTCACCTGTGAGATGGCACGCTGGTCCCTGCTCTTCTGCCGCGTGGCAGAGGCTGTCCTGTGGATCCCGTGGGTCCTGTGGACCCAGCCCTTCCCAGGCGCCAGCGAGGGCCTGTCCGTGGGTGAGGACCAGTCCTCGTGAATAAAGGCACTGTTTTCTGAGAGGGTTGGCTTCGGGTCAGGGCCGTGGCTGGGGTCAAGATCAGGCCTCAAGCTTGGGCCAGGATCAGGGTTCCGTCTGGGGTCAGGATCAAGACTGTCTAGGATTTGGGGTAGGGCTCAGCGTATAGACAGTGTCAGAGATGGTTTATTCTGGAGATAGGATGATGGCTTAGTCTGGGGTCAGGATTTAGGCTGTGACCCGGGAAAGTGCTCATTTTTGGAGTCAGGATCAGTGTCCAATCTGTGGCCAAGATCAAGGCTTAGAAGCATTCATTTGGGTTCAGGGCCAACCCCAGGCTGGGGTCAGGGTCAGGGCCAGGCCTTAGGTCCAGGCTGGGGTCAGGGTCAGACAGTCACCCAGGTTGACGGACAGTGTCTCTCTGGAGTCAAGCCTCCGTCTGTGGCTGGGCTGCCGTCAGGGCTCAGAGTGACGTGGGTCAGGACTGGGTTTGAGGCCGTGTCTGATTATTAGGAGACCTAGGTTGGGGCTGAACTGAATGTGTGTTTGTTTATTTTTAATATATTTTATTGATGTTTTACAGAGAGGAAGGGAGAGAGATAGAGAGTTAGAAACATCAATGAGAGAGAAACATCGATCAGCTGCCTCCTGCACACTCCCTACCGGGGATGTGCCCGCAACCAAGGTACATGCCCTTGACCGGAATCAAACCTGGGACCTTTCAGTCCACAGGCCGACGCTCTATCCACTGAGCCAAACCGGTTAGGGCATGAATGTGTGTTTTTTGCGTCTTGCCCCCTAATGGCGCAGCTCACCAGGGTTCTCCAAGGCAGACCCCAATTCCCAGAAGTGGTCACCACAGCCAGCAGCACGAGGGTGTGCGGGGAGACGCAGCAGGAGGAGACGAAGCAGGAGGAGATGGAGCGGGAGGGCGGTCTGGGGAGGAGATGGAGCGGGAGGGCAGCCTGGGGAGGAGGCCGGGTATGAGATGTGTGAGACGGGAGGCTGGAAGTCAGACACCGGGGAGGGTACGCATCTGGAGGGCCAGCAGGGCCAGGGCAGGTGGAGTCCTGCCTCTCTAAGGCGTGAGAACAGATTCTTGGGGTGGTTGGGGTACACGGACAGGGGCAGGATGAGGCTAAGATGACACCATCCTCCACGCTCTCCATCCTTTCATCCCCAGGCAGCTGGTGCCTCTCCTTCAGCCCCCGGGGTCCTGCCATCCTCACATGACTGGCATCTGAACCCTGGATGACCCATCAGCTGAGAGCTCATGACCCGCTGCCTGGCAGCAGGAGACACCCAGGAGCACCCTCTGGGGAGCGGCCTGTGGCCTCGCCAAGAATGCCCTCAGGAGGCAGGGGGGACGCCAGACTCTCAGGGTAGGGGCCATGGTCACAACCCCCAAGCCACACACACCTTTCCTCCCAGATTGCCCAGGTGCAGCCTACAAATGGCAGCATCCACTGAACCTGCCTACGGAGGGAGGTACACTGGCCCAAGGCCAAGACCCTGGTCCCAGGTGGGGCGACGGAGGGCGCAGATCGGGGCACAGCTGAGGTCAGGCCATGGTCGGGAGGAAGATGCCATCCTTTTCAAATATGGGGGTACAGCACTGCAGCCCAGGTCTTCTGTGGCCTTTAAATATATATATATATATATATATATATATATATATATATATATATATATATATTTGATTTCAGAGAGGAAGGGAGAGGGAGAGAGATAGAAACATCAATGAGAGAGAATCATTTATCGGCTGCCTCCTGCATGCCCCCACAGGGGATTGAGCCCACAACCTGGTTATGTGCCCTGGCCGGGAATCGAGCCTTGACCTCCTGGTTCATAGGTGGACACTCAATCACTGAGCCACACTGGCCTGGCTTCTGTGGCCTTTCAGGTGGGTCGCCTGGGACCTGAAGGCCGCCTGCTCCCTGCCCCATTGCCTCTGTTTTCTTGGCTCTTTTCTGTGGTCGCCATCCAGTGGCTCGGGGAGTGGGAGACGCCCTTGTCCTCTCTGTTTTCCTCTCTTCTTTCTCAGTTCTCTCCCCTTCCCCCAGACCTGTGGTTGCTTTCTGGTCTGAGGGTCGGTGCACGTTCACTGACCTTGGGGTCAGGGTCATTGCAGGGTGTCAGCACCAGAAGGGACCAAGTCCCACCCCTGGAAGTGTGGCTGAGGGTGAGGGTCCTCTGTGCCCGTCACTGCCCCTCACTTCCAACCATCCCCTGAGCGCTGCTGCGCGAGGCCCGCCGGCACCCAGGCCCAGAGGAGGGTCCTCAGGGGCCCTGCTGCTGCGGGAGGGAAAGACGGCCAACGGGGATGGACAGACCAGGGGTGCCCGGCTGGGGAAGGCGACCTGGGCCTGAGTTGTGTGCGTGAGGAGGACTGGCCAGCCGGTGTGTATGGACGTGTGCTGGGGGGAGAGGCCCAGAACTTGCTGACAAAGAGGGGACCGGGCCCCTGGGCTGCCTTTGCCAAGCGCTTCCTCGTGGTTTGGCAAGAGGGAGTCCGGTAGAAACGGTCCATTTTTGGGTCAGACCCAGGAGGGTTGAGTCTCGGCTCTGAGGCTTTCTAGCCCTGTAACCGTGGAGAAGCGAATGAGCCGCTCTGCGCCCCGGTTCCATCATCTGTAAAAGGGGGAGTGGATTCTGTCTGCAGGGGGAATGTGAACGTGACAGTCTCACTTCTCCCGCCTCTTCAGTGGGAAGAACGTCCCCCTCGAACGGTCAGCAGCTGCCTCTGACTTTTTTGATCGGGCGCCCTGCTCAGGAAAACGGGGGTGGGGCTCAGCGTATAGACAGTGTCGGGACGTTAGGATGGTGGCTTAGTCTGGGGTCGGGATTTAGGCTGTGACCCGGGAAAGCGCTCATTTTTGGAGTCAGGATCAGTGTCCAGTCTGTGGCCGAGATCAAGGACGTGTGCAGAGTCCTGGCGTGCGCGCAGCTGTTCCTCACTCTCAGAATTGGGTTGGCTCTCGAGTTTGCACGGCAAGAATCAGATGCCAGGGCCGCTCACTGAGGCCATTCTTAAAATGTGTCTGGTGCCTGCGCTGGGCGAAGTGAAAGATATAAAAAAGAATTCCCAGATTTAGCCTGTTCCCAAGTCAGATCTCCAGGCATATGTCTATTTATTTACAAATGCTAGACATGTACTGCTGTATTACATACACACAACGCAGACGTTTCAAAATAATGAGAGTAAAAATAAAAGTGGGAAGAAAGCTAACATTTTTTTCTGCACCCCACTGGGTCATTTTGTGTTTCCCTTGGGGTGCCCTGCCCCACTCAGAAGATTCCTAGGCTGGGGTGGGGGTGCTGAGGGGAGAAGGGGTGCCAGAGGTCATCCTGAGGACTGCGGGATCCTAGTCCTGAAGCCATCGCTATCCGGGTACTTCACTGTGCATCTGTCCTCCCCCCACCTCACCCCCCCCCCCACGCCATGCCCGGCCTGGGGCTCCCAGGAGGAGCAGATAGGACATCGCCCCCAGGGAGCGAGCAGGGCCCTCTGTCTGCCTTTTTTATTATTCACAACAGGT